TGGATGATGAGCAGCAAGTCTTCATAGAATCGTAGAGCCTTCTGCAGCCCTGCTGAAGTGGGGGTCCGAACAAGTCGGGGCATTCCACATGGGCACAAGTTGCCTGCAAGTGATCAATAAGTTCCGGGATAAGCATCAGGAAATGCGGTTTTCAAATCAGTTTGGTTTTTTTTTCTCCCTAAATTATTCATCGTATACCTTGGCAGAACCAGCATCTGGGTAGCCAGCACTACAGAAGCACGAAGCGAGACAAGGTTCATGTTCTGTGACTTCCGGCATGGGTTCTGAAATTGAGTACGTTTTGCCCTTGTACCTGCATGAGGGCTCAGATGTAGGAGCATTTTCCGCTGCAAAACAAATTTTGATTTTTTTTGTATTCATTCGAAAAAGAAATTCACCCATTTCAAGGAATATATTATATAAATTGCACTTTATTCAGGCGATCTGAAATTCACTGCATTTGCAGATTCAGGGGCATTTTTCGCTTCAAAGTAAATTTCGATTTATTTTTTATTCATATCAGAAATGAAAATGGAAATTTTCAAGGACAATATATTACGGCAATTGAACTTGATAGAGGTGATCTGCAATTCATTGAATCAGCAGATGCAGGAGCATTTTCCACTCTTGGAAGATTTTTTATTCATTTTTTTTATTCATATTCGAGAAATGAAATCAACAAACTTTCAAGGGAAATATTATAGCCCTCGATGATCTTGAGTCAGATGGGAAGCAATTCAATGATTGATTTCTCTGCTCAATTATTTAAACGCTTGGACAGGTAAGTATTTTCTGTAGAATCTCTCTAAAATGAGCTCAGAAGGGTTAAAACATTTTCACATTTCGAAACTTTTCGAGATAAGGAAAATAAGTACAGTACAGAACAGCATTTTTCTGGGGAAAATAATTGAAGAATTGCTGTGTAGGAAGTTGAAATTGGTGATTTTCTGGTATTTAAACTACTAAATTACAGCCAACCGCCACACGACAAACTTGATTTGCAAAACAGATTATAGTCTGTTATGTGAAAAGTATGTTATGCGAATTCAGTTGGGAGGCGAAGAGGGACTCATGTCCACTGGTGGCAAAAAAAACTTCGATACAAACTGATGTCTGTTTATGTGTGAATTTGTCTGTTAGGCGAGAGGAAAGACTTCCTCCACATGTGGTCTGTTGTGTGGGATGTCTGTTGTGCAGGGGTTTGCTTGTACTTTTCAAATAAGTTAACAGGATGCTGAACTTGTTGGAGGCAAGGGTGAATTTGCATAACAACTCGTCTTTCACTTCCTTTCAAAACGCTGCGTCACAAACTCACAATTGCTAATTCATCATCTCACTCTTCCTCTGAAAGTTTTCTTTTGTAATGTACTGTATTTCATAATTTTAAAAGCCGGTGTTCAATAAATTAATGCAAAAATTAATCACAAACTCACGGCATTCGAATCTCGTCGGGCAGCATTCTCCTCTTTCGTAGACGGGTTTGCAGTTTTTCGCTTGATAATGTCCCCACAAGTTCCAATCGCAATTCTTTTTCTCACAGTGAAAATCTACACACATAAAAAACACAGTATTACGGTATATATTTTAATACACTGTATACTTCGATGAGAGTCGTATACTAACCAGTTAGAGGCTCTGAACCTCCACAAGTGTCCTGGCATTTCCTGGCGGAATTGAAATTGTTGTTATTGCCTTGACATCCTCCGTAAACAAACCACTCACATCTGCCAGTTTCCTGCAAGAATACATTTATTGTACATATCTAGTTGAATAAATCAAGCTGAACTATCCGTGTGTGAACCGTATATATTTAGGTATTTGTGATGGTTTTTTATTTTTGAAAATCCTAGATTTGTTGGCAGTGACATGCTTTCAATTTATTTTTAATCGTCATCCCGATCCATCCACAATTTGTAAAGAACAACGTTCAAGATGTCCTACTTGCAAAAATATTGCATTGAAGAATAATCAGCAGGAGAACATGATATCAAAAAGATGCGCAAAATGCTTCTCGAAATTGAAGAAAATTACAATTTCCATTAAAACATCTGGGTGAGCTTTGAAAAAGAAACTCTGTGAATATTTTTCTCTACTTTTTGTCAAACTAAAAAAATGTCGAGACATTGAACATCATGCAAATCTCTTAATTGTATCTCAAAATTATTTCCTTCTCCCAAAAAATAATTCATGTTAAATCGTCGATATGAGAACATATACGTACAGTACAGTATATGAAATTACGAATATATATGTGATCGTTCTCTCACCGAATTGAAACCAAACTTTCGGAAGAACCCAAAACAAGGACCCGAGGAAAGTGGCTGGTTGCATGCTTCTTTTGAATCCTTGCTTTCTGTACCTTCGTCTACACTATCTGGAATGGATAATAAGATAAAAATTAGTCATACAAAAGCAAATAAACAAGTTGGTTGATTTGGTGTTTCACGGAAAATCTCCGCATGCATTAATGATGAATATGTATGAATCACAAACCTTGAAGAATGGCGTCCTTCTTCGGGCAGGCGGCAATGCACTGGGCTTCGCTATCAAAAAGATTCGCAGTGCCGCCACAGCCGCCATAAACATAGGTCATGCACTTGCCTTCCGTAGCATTGTACGTGTACTTGACTAAGAATGCCAGGCAAGACTTGGTCTCATTCGGCGCCATTGGAGAAAGTGTGCAAATATCTGCTTCCGCTTGTTTTCCAGATTCTGCAGTAATTTGTTTTTGCAAAATAATCGAGTATAGGACTNGTAATTTGTTTTTGCAAAATAATCGAGTATAGGACTTGATCGTGACAGAGGGGGTTCTATGACGCCATGTTCTGGCAGCAATAGAAACATACAAAAATACTGTTTATCATACTGAGAATTTTCATCAGATCAAATATTGAATAAAATTAAATGAAGGGAGTTTGAATAAAAGCTGTTGAATACAGTAATAGCTCATGCGCAAAAATTCAAGAACTGCATGCAGTCTGAGTTCTAGTATCAACATTTTGAAAAAGAGGAAACTGTGCTGACAATTTAATACTGTACAGTATCTACCGTAATTTTTCAAATGAACCAACAGATTCTGTTTTAAAATCAAATCTGTTTGAGCAATCACATCCAGAATGAACGCTTTCACAGGCTGCTAATGATGGATCAGGCCAGATGCCCTGGATAACACTGGCCTCTGAAATTTGTAGAACAACAAGAAGGTCATCTAGATATGCTATTTTTAATCTGCCAAGTTCTATATACACACTCTATACTCGAAGAAACTATTAATTAATATTACTTTCTACATACACTATTTATATCAGTTGGACCTTTGATGTAATACAGATGTCCCTTTCCTGGTTAAATTTCAAGGGGTCAAAAAAAGATTCTAGTTGGGGAAATAGGCCTAAATTCTTGGAAAAAACATGAAATACAGGAAATTGTGAATGGCAATATTCTGGGCCTTGAATTGCTTCATAAATGAGTTGAAGGAATGCCATTAAAAGAAATCTTCAAAAGCACTCAGTAATA